ACCAACACATGCGAGAAGACGACCGGCTGAAGCATTCGGCTGGTGTGTAGATGCCAAACATTTTCCTTTCATGAACCATAATGATTGAAGTGTCCTTTTTCCAGTGCTAAGAAAGGTGACACCGGAGCCGTCAGATGGGCTCACGCGTAGCCGTCAATCAAAGTGGTTAGTCCCTATTTCATCTCCCCCCCAACCCACGCCTATCTCATCTTCCTCCCTCTCCCCTTTTCCCGTAGCACTTACCATCCGCTAACTCGTCGCTCCTCGATGCTACTCGCAGCACCTGATGTCGCGCCTCTCCAACTGGATCATCCCTCTACCCTGCGGCCTCACTTCGCAGCCGGCTCGAACCATAGGTGAGGTTCATCAAATCGCAGACCCCCCCGCCCTTAGCAACCACCATTGTTGCATGTAGCAACTCATGATCGTGCTCGCAACACCCTCATCATCAGAAACATTGAACTTCCAATGTGTCTCATGATGTTGTTTATGTTGTATTTTTCTTGTTTGTTTTTCTTTAATCCATATTCGAAGAGGACTTTGCTATTATATTGTTTTTTTGGGTGTGTGACTTTATACATATAGCGGCAGAAAGTTCTATGTCGAAATAAAGAAAATTGTCCCGAAGGCCTGATAGAACCAGGTAATGAAAGTGAAAAACATCAAATAAATCTCAATACTACTCCCTCCGATCCAAAATAACTATTGCCGTTTCGAATTAAGCATAATTTGAACTGCGACAGTTATTTTGGATCGAAGGAAGTAACAAACTGACGTCAGAGTTTAGCCCTCAGGCACATCAGTTCCCACGCAAGAATCCTAAAGCGCTCGCCCACGCATCCTTCTAATAGCATCTCCAATAGAAACGCGGTAGGGTGGCACGCTAAAAAAAGTGTAGTGTCGAAATACCATTTTAGCACGCGCGGGAGGGTGGTTGCTTTTTGAGGCGCTTCAAAATTTAATGCGCCACTGTAGCGCTTCACCAGACGCGGTAAAAATCCAGTGCGTGCCCAGCCGACGCTTGGCAAATATGAAACAACAAATACCAATTTGACAATATGAAACAAGATGATCTCAAACATGCAAAATCATGAGTTGAGCAACATAGCATAGTGCAAATTCATGGTATAGTTCAAAATCACCTACCCATAAGCAAGTTCATGACAAATAAGTTCACACAAAACGGCACATCAACAATGATGCCCCATCTTCTTCCTCCTTTTATTCTTCCTCTTCGTCATTGGAAACTCAGACGGTGCTCACACTATCTCCAAAGGCATCATGCGAATGCATGTGACGCACACCGGAAGCCATGTGTCCACCCATTTCACCCGGAGGTGCTCCCATGCCTCATAAGAGAGACCCCAAACTCATGCCTCTCATGCCTCCCATGGTAGCTCCCAAACCACCCATGCCCCCCATGGTAGCTCGCATGCCCCCCATGCCGCCCATGGCTCCCATGCTTGTTCCCAAGCCTCCCATGGTAGCTCCCATGCACCCCAAGCCTCCCATGGTAGCTCACATGCCTCCCAAACATCTGATGGTAGCTCCCATGCTTCCTATGCATCCCATGCCCATCAATCTTTTTTGGACCAAGACTTGATCAAGGCAAAGGTTGATACACTCCTTTTGCCTATCATCGGAGTTAGATTTGTCCATGAAGAACAAGTACTTCTTGGACATCACGGCAAAGGTTGATGTACCTCTAGAACATCACTGTCCTTCCATTTCTCTTCATTCTTCAACACTTCGTAGCAATGGGGCAACACAAATGCTCTCCCTTTCTTAACCTTGCCTTTCTTGGTCTTCTTCTCTTCTCACCGAAACAAGTTTTGTGTAATATTGAGCTACAAACAAAAGAACAAGTTACCACTTGAAGCACAAAAGATGAAGCATGAACATGGAACGTAAAAAATTGCACTTACCCTATCTCTATCATTAGTGCCACTTAGGTTTATCTTGTTAACCGACGTCATTGCCGCTGCCCACTTTTGACAATCTTTGTTGATCGTCGACCACCAGAAGCGAAGAGATCTATCGGTGCGCTCAAATCCACTCTTGTTGTGTGCATCAAAGTACTCCTCATCCCAAAACAATATTAATCTCCACTTTGGTCCGTCCCAACGGTGGCATCCATATACCCATTCAACCATGTCTCGCATAACAAGATGTTATCATCCATGCTGTAGTTGCACGCCCTTCCTTTCGGTGCATCGACCATACCCTCAGCCTCCTCACCCACTTCATATTCATGATCATCTTCATGCACTTCATTGGTTTGAGACCAATGAGAATTGTTGGAGCAAACACCCATAGTTGACATATATGTGTCATCATTGAAACTACAAAGTTTGACAAAGAAAATTAATCAAATTATCCATATGTACACATTTATCTAACAATAACAAAAAAGAAAAAAAAATCATACCTTGTGGGCATTTCATCAAACACCATGTGCACATCGGCCGCCGGCGCAACAAATTGTGAGCTATCCAGTGCTTCGGGTGGCGGAGGCGCGGACGGACGCGATGCTTGATTCTTCTTCACGCGCCTAGAAGCGCCATCCACTTTCCTATTCTTTTGGGCTGTCACCATCATCGGTCGGTTGGAGACGGAGCTCGGTGGCTTCGCGGCGGCATGACACCATCCTGCGAAGTCGTCCGTGGCGCCATGAAAAGACAGCGCGCGAGACCCGTCCTTGGAGTCGGTGCGGCGCCCGCGGTGAAGCCGGAGGTCAACCCTACACTAGGATTTACGACGGCGGTGGCGGCGGAGGGGTCGCAGGTGTAGGGCGGGGTTGCGAGGATGTCGGCGCGGCCGTTCATCGCCGAAATTTCGCCGGCAGCGGCGCAGGGCAGGACGAAGGCGGGAGCGGCCGGAGAATTCAGGGCGGCGGTTTCTCACTCGCGCGCAATTATTCGATATCCAGTGCGCGGGAGCTGACGCACCAAATACGCAGCGCACGATGCGGTTTTCTTGGCACAGCGAACCTTGTTTACCGCGTGTGGGATTATAAGAGCATCTCCAATAGGAGCACAAAAGTTTTGCGCCCTAAAATAGTCTTAACGCGCCACTGTAGCACTTTCAGCGCGCCGGACCCAACATTGCTTTACCAAATGCCTAAAAACAGGCGTCCAAAAAACAAGCAGTGTAAATTGTGAACCGCGCAATCCGGTACCTCAAATTTGCAGCATGCGATAGCGTTTTTCAACGCGCGCCTTAGCCATTTTTGCACGTGCATTAATTTACACCTTCTACTGGAGCTGTCCGGCACCTAAAAAACCCGAATTTTAGTGCGTGGAGCAATTTTTGGGCGCCTGTTGGAGATGCTCTAACGCGGCTGCTGGAGCGCTACTTTCGGTCGCGCGCTATATAGCCGTTTTATCCGACGCGGCTTATTTAGCGCATCTATTGTAGATGCTCTAAGAGAACTACGAGCCATCAACACTAATTGGTCCGCTCAGGAATGCTACTTGAGCGAACACATTGGATGATGAGATTTCTGTTTTTTTTAGAGCATGACAAATGTCGCCTTTTTTTTTACGTAGCATGACAATTCCAATTCGCTTCAGTCAATATGGCAAAAAAGAAAAAGGACAAATCCTGAGTTTGTTCGTTTTCATACTTTCTTCAGTTTTAGGCAAGGCAAGTCTCCATGCTCCAATCACGACAAATCCTCGAAAACACATGGCAACTACTTTTTCGTGCAGCATGACAGTCTCTGACTTTTGTTATATAACATTATAATTTTTAATTTAGAACAAGGCAAATCCTAATGCAACATGACAAATTTACTAGTTTCTGGATGACAATTTTGGATCCTTCGCGTAGAGTTGTTTCGTTCGTTCCTGTCTAATTATTTTCGAGAGTATGACGTACCTTAGCTTTATAGAAAATAGAGAAATATTTACAAAAGATTACAATGTGGCATCCACTTCACAGAAGCGTCCGCCCTCCCGAACTCCGGAAAATGCCTAAGGGACTACTCACAAAAGTGTAACACCCCACTCCTACTGGCTAACTCCCACAGTTTTCGCTCTTTGAAGATGCACTCCACAGTGCCTAGTTCATTCGTGATGCCATTCCTACCAAACACTCTGATGTTCCTCTGTTTCCATAAACACCAGCAAATTAGCAAAACAAATGAGTCAAAGTCCTTCTGCATGGTCTTCTGCACTGTCTTCTGGGCTCTCATCCGCCAAACTTGAAATGGAGCATTGCCATCCGGCAGCAAGGCAAGATCAATCCCTGTCTTAGCGAAGCAAAGATACCACACCTGCCTAGTGAACACGCACTGTGACAGAATGTGATCCACAGTGTCTTCCTCTTGTTTGCAGAGACAGCATGGCGAGGTTTCTTCTTGTAGGCCATGTCGAGCTCTCCTGTCCAATGTCGACAACCTGTACTGAAGTGCCAACCATATAAAGATTTGGCAAGCGAGGGGTGTCTTATTAGGGAACGATAACCACTTGACACGAGTGGTGAGCTATCTCAATGAAAAAAATTATTAGTAAACGATAGTTCGCAAAAATGACCTCACCTGAAAAACGTCAGCGCGTTATTAGGGTCCCAAATAACAAGGTTGAGAAAAGGTCGTTTGAGTTCAGGATCCCAATGATATAAAATCCGGATGAGTCTTGGACTCTTTTTCTTAAAACACAATGGACTCTTCACCAGTGTATCCCTACCAAACGAATCATGTTTACAATACAACAAATACGTACTGTTCCCAAACATACTCCTATTTATTTGATGGTTCCAGCTGAGTTGCTCGACGAGATCTCTTTGGAGCCGAGCGTTGCGTGGCGGCGATCATCATGCTACCGGCCACGAAACGAGCGGGGCACCACCGCAGTCCGTGGTCCGACCTCCCCTACGATCTGCTTACAACCATCCTCGTCCGGCTCACCGCAAACTCCCCGGCCCTTCGCGACCGCGCACGCTTCGGCGGTGTGTGCCAGACATGGCGCGCCGCCGAGCGCGCCCACCCGCGCCCTCCCATGCCATGGCTCGTCGCCCCCGGGCACTACGTCAGCCTCCACGACGCCGCCATCTACCGCGTCCCGCTGCCCGAGGACGCCGCCGCTGCCATCTGCCGAGGCTCCTTCGGCGACTGGCTCGCCCTCGTGCCGCCGGTGTCAGGGCGCCCCTTCTTGCTGAACGCTTTCACCAAGGAGCGGATCAAGCTGCCACGGCGGACGAAAGAGCCGATGAATAAGTTTGTCATGTCGTCCGCGCCGGATGCCAAGGCTTGCACTGTGGCTGCCATTGTTGAGATTGGAAACAGCCCTTATATAAGGAGATTTAAGATCGTCTTCTGCCACCTGAGGAGGGGACGACGACAAGGGCGCTCCTGGGAGATCCTGACTAAGGCGTTCCAGCTCCAAGATATCATCTTCTTCGAGGGGAAACTCCATGCCCTTGACATCCAAGCCCGCCTCCATGTCTTTGAGGAAGAAGACCTCCAACAGCGCCCTGATCAGCGATGGAACATGCCGTCTGCGGAGCAGCGATTCTTCGACGTCACGCTGCACCTGGTTGTCCTCCATGGGAGGCTGCACGTGGTCGGCAGGGGCTTACGTACGACCCGGTGGACGCACTTCACGAACGCAATAGGGGTGTTCACGCTCGTCGGTGAGATGGCGAAGTCGCCAGCAGTGGTCAAGGACTTTGACGGGCACGCGTTCTTTGTTAGCGACGCCTGCTGTGACGCTTTCGCTGTTGAGGCAGCCGCTTCAGGCCGCAGGATAAGAGAGAACCAGATTTACTTCGTTGACGACGAGAAGAACGTGGCGTTGCTGACCGCCCGCGGCCGCCGGCCTTTCCAGATGCTGCAATCCTACGACGTGCGCAACAGCTGCCTCCGAGCATACGTACCCAGCACCGCCGTGGTGGGGACTTGGCGCTGCGTCACAGCACAGCGCTTCCCGCACAGCAGCACCATCGGACCACCGTTGCGGGAGTCTCTGTCGGAGGCGGAGCTGCTTCTGTGGGACGTGGCCAACTGCCTGGGAGCATGGGGCCAGCCCTCATATACAACGCGCGAGCAGGAAGACGGCGCAAGGGTCGCCGTGACCGTGCGGATATGGGTGCCCAAGACATCAAAAATGTCTGTGGAGGAAGAGCACTACTGGAGGTTTACAAAGTACCGGAAGTCAGCCAAGAAAGCTAAGCAGGCGGCGGCGCACGAGGCCGTTACGTTCCTGCGGAGTCGGTTCCGCAGCATCCTGGACGACAGTCCCTGGAGCTCCGTCCCTCACTACCATAGCCATGTCGATGAGGAGGAGGAAGCACCGGAAGAAGACAGCGACGACCGCGACGGTTTGTTTGGGTATAAATATTGGCAGAGAGACTTGTACTAATAATGCTGCTTTGGCCTTCCGTTGAGCGCCATTGCTTTGCTATGCAAAATACATGGCAAGGCGTGTGCAGAACATGCGCTTGATTGGAGTGATCGAGAGCTTTTAACTATGCAATGCAAAGCAGCGTACCATACACAGTAAAATACTTTAATTAGATGTTAATAGTATAGTCAGGTACGGGCTGTATAAACATGTCATGTCGTCAAAAAGTAGCATTGTTAATTAATATATAACAGGGCTGGCTATAAGGTTAAAGCATTCTTTCTCTTTCTTTCTTTCTCTTTTTATTAAATAATTTTACCTGGGAGTACACGTAGACTGGGTCTTCATGAGAGGTTTTTTTTACTTATCTCTCTCGTCCGTATAGGAGAAAGCCCACCCAGGTAGCGACACTCATACTGCACCTTGATAGGTTGCTAGCTACACCGTGGCCGTCTCCCACGCAGCACCTGCCATTTGTCGGTTGGTCGCACCACCGCCACTAGACATTGCCTACCGTGGATCTAGCTAACAACACCTAGGACTTTACAGCACGTGTTTCTCTCGTCGTAGCATCTGCACTTTTTTTAACATTAGTATACAAGCGCTCATATATACGCGCATACACTCATCCCTATGAACGCACACACGCATACCCTACTCCTATGAGCACCTTCGAAAGACTGAGCTGGCATATCATCTTGAAATTTATGAAGTCACCGTAGACACCTCGTTGTTGACGGGAACGTCTCCTCCCACTGAATGCGTATCGTCGGAAATCCCAAAATAAATCTAGGAATAAATGCGAGCATTAGAATTTGAACCCTCGTGGGCTGGATCGGTGTGACTTAGGATCGGGATCCCGGCAAACGCGCCGGCCAAAATCCGCTTACAATAAAACTTAACTAAAATGTAGATAAAAATTGTTAAAAAAACACTGCAGCCTGCAGCTCTAGCGTCGCCGTCCTCGGCCTCCACGGTTAGGTCGACAAACGACATAACGTCCGCTCGGGGGAAGGCCACTGGTATGCCGCTAGCGCTGCCCTCTGCTGCGCAGCACCTGGGGCCGCCATCTACCGCTCCTCCTCGAGCCACTTGGCTTCGAGGTCGTGCTCTACCTGCATGGCGCGCTCTGCCACTAGCGCACGCCCTCCCACTCATAGAGGTGTTGTCGCTCCTCCCCGTCCCCCGTCACGCCTAGCCAAACGGGCGGCACAAACATGTAGATGGGCAGCAAGCTCGTCCACTAGTAGGTCTCGGGAACGAGCGTGGGCGCCAGTGGGGACGGTGGCGGTGTGTAACGCCCTCGATGCGGCTATATCTCCCACGTGTCGAAGCACGACTTAGAGGCATAACCGCAATGAAAGCAATGTCGCAAGTGAGGTAATCTTCACAACAACCCATGTAATACATAAGGGAAAGAGATACATAGTTGGCTTACAATCGCCACTTCACACAATTACATGAATAAAGCATTACATCATCCAAATACACTCAAGGTCCGACTACGGAACCAAAATAAAAGAAGACTACCCCAAAAGCTACACAGATCCCCAATCGTCCCGACGTCGGGGAGGAGCTTGGAGGCGTCCGGCGTCGCGTGAGTCGATGAGGAGGTCGAGGACGGCAGCGCGGAGCTAATGGGCTTGTCGGAGGGGCGAGGGGGTGGCTCTGGTGACGACTACGGCGAATGGCGGCGAGGATCGCGCTCGGCCATCGCGGGAGAGGGTGAGGGAGACGAGGGGGGGAGTGAGGGAGGAAGAGAGGGGGACGTGGGGGTCGGCGTGGCACCCCTGGACGTCTCCAGGGCATCGGCAGAAGCAGGAGGTGGCCGGCGTGTGGCCGCGGGCGCCGGCCACGCGCTCCTCGTCCTCCTGGCGGGAGGAGGAGGACGACTGGCAAGGCCAGTCGGCTGGGCCGAGCCAGGTGGGCTGGGCCAGCACAGGTGAGGCCCAGGTGGTTTCCCTCTCTCTCTTTTTTTTTGATTTGTTTCTGTTTTCTATTTTTGCTGCAACTGTTGGGCTTTATTAAAAATACTAAAACGTTTCCGAAAATCCTGAAAATAAATGTGGGCTCTGTTTAGAATATTTCCAACAGCAAACATTTATTTCCAGAATTATTTGAGAAATTAAATTATTTTATAGCATTTAAATGCCCAAAATCAAATACTTATGATTTAATTCAATGACCTTCTATTGCCCTAGAAAATTGTGCACCAATTTTTGCCAGAGGTTCTAACCCAAGACAAAGAGGGTGAACTTTTTAGAAGGGCATTTCAGGTTCGTTGAAAATAATTTTAGTAAACCCTAGTTGTTTCCAGGGGGGGTGTTGGGGGTTCTGTCTTCCCTATTTCAAATTTAAGAGGAATTTAAACATGATGCACACTCTAATGCTTGAATTAACTACGGTGTGACACCTGAAAAAAAACAGGAACTCGGCCGAATCTAGCCGGCCCAACAAGAGAAAAAAAACAAGAGGAGGGGGCGGTGGCCTCACCCATGGGCTTCGGCCCGTTTGAGGAGGAGGGGGTAGGCCGGCAGGGGCGCTGCGCTGGGCCGGTTTGAGATCGAGGCGTGGCTGCGGTCCACATGATGGGATAAGAGGGCTAGAATTTAGGGTTTCATCTGTGTATAAATAGCAGGTGGGATAAATTAGGGGCTATCCGGTCCCTTCGATCATAATCGGACGGTCGCGAATAACTATGTTAGGAAGTCCAATTAACAAAACGGAGACGTTTTCTAGATGTTTGGGGATGATCCGGACACAACGGTGGCGACAGTCCGGGTCGGGTCCGGGACAGCTTTTCGGACGCGCGCGCGAGGAGAGCCGCGGGCTGATGAGAAAGGTTAGGTAGGGTCTGGCGGTGAGTAGTGGACTATGCAGAAGGCCTCGGGCTAAGACAAGAGAAGAGAGAGGGAGGCCCGGCGTCTGTTTCCGAAGACCAAAGACGTCCGACGTTAGACCGACTATAATGCCGCTATAGTTTAACGGTTGGGCTATCAAACAAACTCCGAATGCGATGAAACTTGACAGGCGGTCTATCTACACTATAATAAGACCGGACGCCAACTTTCAACCCATTCCGAGAACATTCTCCGGCCACTTATAAAACACTATTTCGGACATGCCGCGGGCGCGTGCAAGTGTGTCTGGGCTCGGAACGGACAACGGAGAGAACTCGGAGAACCCGGACGAATGCATGTTTTAAAACGTGATGATGCAATGCACATGATGACATGATATGACATGCATGACACGCAAGCAATGACAAGGCAACAACAGCGAATAACTGGAAGACACCTGGCACATCGGTCTCGGGGCGTTACAACACTCCACCACTACGAGAGGATCTCGTCCCGAGATCTAGAATGGCACCGGAGGGAAACGGAAGAGGAGAGAAGAGGTAAAACTAAGTTGCTTCTTTGACAAACGAGTGAAACCAAAGAACCTTGAAAGGGTTAAGCCATTTCGGGAAAAGAATACAACGAAGATGAACGAAGTTGAAAACACTCCGTTAGAAAAGAGGAACAAGGAAGAACAAATTCGTATAGCACTCCGGTTGAAAAGATGCAAAACTTGATAGGATGAAAAGTACTTGAGCAAAGGGGTTGAACACCTCGGTTAAATGGGTAAGCACGAAAAGAACACTATCCGAGATGATGAGAGAAAAGAGCAACATCACCATGCCTCCGGAAGAAAAGAGAGGATAGAATGGAATGAATGGAGGATAAAACAACATCTTCTACCTCAAATGAGCTTAAAAAAACATATTTTAGGAGAAGGGTCGAACGGAGTTGTTGGAAAACCAACAACGAAAGGATAAGCTTGAAGCGGGCTTATGGAAATCATCTCAAAACTGAGGTGAAATTCTGCCACTAACGAAAAACAATAGATTGGATTGATACGAACAAGGAGATGAGAAGCTATCTCACCGGGAGAATAAATGAAGAAGTTGGGTCATTTATGAGTACACAATTAGCAACAATCATTATGGAAGGCTTTAGGTGAAATATAACCCAAGATAACTCCAATGAAGAGATTGATGGGTTACAAAGGAACTCATGAATGAATTGAAAATGATGGGTTTAAAATATGTCATTCTGGACAACTTGTGAATCATGAAACACTAAGGGACATTGTCAACAATGACATAACACCACCTCAAAAGATAAGATAGTAAGAACTGCACTCCGGATTGCAAGATGAAGAATGCTTGAGCTCCTGCGAAAAGAATCTCAATGGAAACTTCGAGAAGGAATTAAATCCTTGATGAACCATCATGTAGCACCTTCATGAAGAACTCCGTTAAACAAAAGAATGATCAAACGGAAGGAAAGAAATGTTGAAAACACAAGGTGAAACCTTGTAATGATTAGATGAATCTTCACGATGATATAATTGAGAGAACTTGGAACTCCGGGAAAGAAAGATGAATAATTGAGATCAGGAATTTTATGAGCCTCCGAAATAGGGAATTGAGTTCACTCGAGGAAATAAGAATAAGAATTACATCATGCTTATCCTTCACCAATTAAATTGATGACAAACAATGGATTTGTCCTACTACTTATTGTCGTAGAAAGGATGAAGATAGATATAGCGCAAACTCAATGGACCACAGGTAGGATTGAAACCAACGAATACATTGATATGATAAACGACGGAAGAAGAATCTTGGAAGAACCACCGTAAGAATTGAAAATGAACGAAGAAAAGGGATGAATCACCGGTAAAAATTAGCAAATGAATGAAGATACATGAGAGAGTTAGATACAAGAGAACGAAGAGATCGTGGGCTGATTATAGATCACTTGAACGATGCACCGGTAGGTTGGAGAATGATAACTGAAAGCTGAGAATGAATAAACCTGAATTGATGGACTCTGGATAATCAAACTGAGAAGATTCTTGAATTGCTTCGGATGGGTGAAAAGAATTCTCACTATCAAAAACAGTTATGAGAGGATGACATCAAGCTGGAGCTATGAATCTTGAAGAGAATGAAGCAAGATTGAGAGAAA